GGGCGGGAACGACGAGCGGGAAAACACGCTGAACCAGCTTCTGGTTGAGATGGACGGCTTCGGAACGACCGCGGGCGTCGTCGTTCTCGCGGGCACGAACCGGCCCGACATCCTCGACAAGGCGCTCCTCCGGCCCGGCCGTTTCGACCGTCAGATCACGATCGACCGGCCCGACATCAACGGCCGGGAGCAGATCTTCCGACTGTACCTGAAGAAGGTGACGCTCGACCAGGACCCCGAGTTCTACTCGCAGCGGTTAGCGGCGCTAACCCCCGGGTTTGCGGGGGCCGACATCGCAAACCTGTGCAACGAGGCGGCGTTGATTGCGGCGCGAGCGGAGAAGGCGGTGGTTGAGATGGTGGACTTCGAAGCTGCTGTGGACCGGGTTATCGGGGGGCTTGAGAAGAAGAACAAGGTGAGCCGGAAAAGGATGCCGTGTCTTTTTTACGGTCAGTTCCGTCTAAGTACGCTCTTAAATGCGGATAGGAAAGGCTTGGTGACACTTCGATCGACGTCAGAGTCTTTCATCTTTGACACTAGCTATCTCAACCGAGCCAGCCGCTTTTCTTTGCGAAAGGCCAGTGCGAACTGCCAGTTCATAATAGAGCGAGCGTGTTATTCTGGCATTTACGCGCACATAAGTAACGCGAAGCTGCATCGAGCTCACGTCGGATACGTTCTGTGCTGACGACTTTTCTCTCTTCACTCCGCCAGGTCATCAGCAAGGAGGAGCGCCGCACGGTCGCGTACCACGAGGCGGGCCACGCAGTCACCGGGTGGTTCTTGGAGCACGCCGAGCCGCTTCTCAAGGTTTCTATCGTCCCCCGAGGGACCGCCGCGCTCGGGTTTGCGCAGTACCTGCCAAACGAGAACCTGCTCATGACCAAAGAACAGCTGTTCGACCAAACGTGCATGACGCTCGGCGGGCGCGCCGCGGAGCAGGTGATGCTGGGCAAGATCAGCACGGGCGCGCAGAACGACCTGGAGAAGGTGACCAACATGACGTATGCACAGGTGAGCGGTGGGACTTGTGGCAGAGTTTCTCGGTGAAGAGGTCCGGACGGCTTGCTGCGGTGCACGACTGCTTGGTTGTTGGCCTTGTTGATGATTGCATTCGATTCATTCATGGCGACTCGGCTGCTGGAGTTGAGGAAGTGTTGAAATCTGGTTTGCTTCAGGCCGACCGGACTTACGAAACTGCGGCGCTGAGGTCTTGGAAAGTCATTGCTGTTCATTAGTCGAAGCGGCCAGGATTTTGGAGATTGTGTCTCACAACGTGACGTGTCCAGCTTGCACTGTCTGGGCAGTACATAAGAATTGCGTCATCCTATCCAGGTCGCGGTGTATGGCTTCAGCCCCGCCGTTGGGCTCCTCTCCTTCCCCCGTGGCGAGAACGACCTCCAAAAGCCCTACTCCGACACGACGGCCCAGCTCATCGACAGCGAGGTCCGGACCATGGTCGACAAGGCCTACCAGCGCACCCTGCAGCTGCTGACTGAGAAGCAGGCCGGCGTGAAGGCCCTGGCAGAGGCCCTGTTGCAGCGGGAGGTGCTGCACCAGGAGGACCTGGTCGCCATTCTCGGCGACCGCCCGTACAAGAGCGTAGAGCAGAGCAACTACGAGAAGTTCAAGTTCGGGTTCGGCCGCGTCGAGAAGCCGGCGACCGTCCCCGGGATGGAGACGCCTGAGGCGCCGCCAGCTGGCGGAGATCCGGGCGCGCCGCAGCCGCCGCAGGGGGGCGGGATCCTGGGGGCGCCGGCCCCCCTGGAGCCCGGCCCGGTGGGAGGGGAGCGGGTGACGTGGCGCGCCCCGCCGCCGCTGCCTTTGGGCCCACTGGGACCGAAGCTGCCGCAACCAGGAGGGAGTTTGGGGGCGCCCGCGCCGCTGGGGCCAGTGGCAGGAGGGGTGACGTGGCGCCCGCGGTCGTCGCTGCCGTTGGGGCCGCTGGGGCCAAAGTCGTCAGTGCAGCAAACAATTTGAGGAACTGTGGATCGGTCGGGGAAGCTGGACGGGGTCAGGAAGGGAGGTATAAGACCGGGACGTGCAATTGCAAAGGCAGTGGTGACGCCCGTCAGAGGATTTTGCAGTGGATACGGCCTTGCAGTTTACAGATGCGCCAGGTTTCTGAGCCGGAGTCTTGCGGCTGGATCTGATTCTTGGAGCGACAACTCTTAGGAGGTGCCCGAGGTGGCCGCGCTAGTCCGTGCCGTTTGTAGTGAAGGTGGTGCCATTGCACTTGTACACATGTAAGACATGTTCAGACTAGGAGTAATGAACTCAAGCAATAGGTGCTAAGGCCGTTCTGATGAGCGTTAAGGATCCTTATTATGGACCTGTGCATATTGCCTTCCTTTATTTGAAGTCTTAATCCTTCAAGTTCTTGGGGACATTGATAGTCAAAATGCTGGGTCAATCAAGTACAAGGAGAAAGGTCAATGACGTATGGATGTAGCGGTGGCCTGTATGCCTGATTTTCACCCCTGTATTCAAGTGGCACTGCCTTTATGACCATTGCTCATCACGTTGATGCTCAGTGAGCTAGGCTATGCTCTATACGCTGAATGCTGCACGTCAGTTGTATACTTGATGCTCAAAATTATCATGCTCTGAGAATTACTCCTTTCGTGATCAGAGTTTTTGTAAGAGTGCTGCTAGGAGCAACATGATGCCATGACGTATACGGCCAACTTGAAAAAGTGCATGCTTATGAACAAGTACTAGCACATGAGTAGGACTAGCCTTAGCTGTTACAGCTTTGCATGCATGACACGCGCGGCTGGGCGCACATAGATGGCGATATATTATTAGCTCTAAAAAGATGCCTGCCCTGACTGCTTAGATTGTACGTTTTCAATAATCGCTGGCCATTTTGCACGATGAGCTATCATGCGGATCTGCCTTGCAATTGCAATCCCACATGTATGCCGGGTGCACACATACAGCCGCAGGCCTGTCGAATTGCCACTGGCATCATGTCTCCTGCACCAACACAGTGACAGGCGGCTTTATCCGCAACCAGTCAACCTACAAGGTAGTATTGTGAGTAACCAAGAGCGCACCCGCTCTACAATACACCCACGGGCTAACACCCACATAAAATTTGCTCGCAGCTGAAGAGGCGCTGGGATTTTGGCTAAGTCAGAATTAGCTTTCCGATAACTTCTCATCCAAGTTATGAGCTTCGAGTTTGGATTCCGCCCAATTTATAGTCCAGAAATCACTCTATAAGTTCGATAACTTTTAATCCC